TTATCTTATCTTATCTTATCTTATCTTATCTTATCTTATCTTATCTTATCTTATCTTATCATCTAACCTAGGCCCCTTTGACCCCAGGTACATATAGTCCAGACTGAGAGTATACTATGGTCTGTTACGTCGTAAAGAAGTGTGTAAAGACAATGGATAGATGGGTATAAGTTTTGTAATTGGAGTCGTTTCAGGATGTGAACTCACTTGTTTAGGCTGCATTCAGACTAGCCATTAGCTCATCGACCCAGTCAGAAAGAAACTCCATTTCTTCATACTGATGCTGTTTAAAGAGCTATCCACCACAGGTAAGATATTAACTGTTAACACAGTTCAGAATGACTGATAGGAGTCAACGAGTCATAATCCTTGAATTGTTTTAGCAAGAAGTCACTTAGTGAATCCTCCACAAATCAAAACCAGCAACGTTTCAAGTAGAATAAAATGGGCTCTTTCAAACAAATCTGGACATGTATTTACTTGGTTGCTAAAAGTTTTGCCCATGAAGAACGAGCCGACATGAGGCGGCATGACGTTGTCAAGCAGCAGCTTGTTGATGATCTCGATGGTCTCCATCTCCTCTTGCTCTGTTTTGAAACACTTGTCCAGCAGGAAGTCCACACGACAAGTCAGCTCATCCTGAGAGAGAAATCAGAGAGGAAGCTTCTGTAACGCACACACACAAATCAAAACTTCTGCAATAGCTTTAGATTATACAGACACACACACACACCCGTCTGGCCAGAATGAGGCACACGATGTAAAAGATGATCAGCCAAATCCCAGACATGATCTGAGGGTCTTTCAGGATGCCGGGCCTGCAGAGACACACACTCACACATTAAAACCTTTGGTGCTGAGCTGACAGCTGAGCCGCTGACCRACTTCCATTATTCAGTCAAACAACAGCGTCTTGTGTCTGAATCGTGTCCGGCCCCCCACAGGCAGGCCTCTGTCTGAAGGGAAGTGTTGAATAAATGATGGTGATCCGAAACGTTAAGAACAAGGATTCACAATCTGGATGCTGAGTGGTGAAGAAAAGGCAGGAAATGTAAGACTCTCCCTGTGAAAGACGGACTGTGTTGATGTCTGCAGGGAGTAGAGGAAAACGTCTGAGACGGCTCACACAGTTCAAATTATTATACGAACGAAGTCGTGCTTTCTTCTTTACATCAGGAAAAGCTTCACTGGAAGATCTGAAGCAAACAGGTCCCTAAAGCACTTTGATAAGTTCAGATTTTAGCGTATAAAACCTTGAACTAACACTTCTTTTTCACATTTAAATCATTCAATTGAAAGTGGAACTGCAACGTTTGAATTCTACTTTATTGTAACTCCACAAGCCCCTCTTCCACCCCTTTTCTGCGGTGTTTCTCAGGTCAACTCGTTTTGATGCTGTCTCTTTAAATCCAAACAAGGCGCTTCACACCACGACTTAATCGTTCGGTCTAAAAAGGCAACAACAATCAATAAAAATATATTTTTTAACTGATAACTTGATTTAAAAACGTTTCTGTTTAATTAGAAACCCCAAAAAACAAGGGTCACTCACTTTAAGCCGTTTCTGTACAGCAGCTCAACGAGGCAGCGGGACCTCGGGGAGTAGACGTGGAGGAAGAGGGCCAGGTACACCACCACGGCCAGGGTGAGCAGCAGAAACTTCACAGAGAAGCAGATCTTGATGAACACGATGACTCCCAGCATGGCCAGCAGGCAGCAGTRCAGGTAGTACTGTGTGTGTGCGCGTGTGTGTGTGTGTTCACGAGGACAGGAAGGGGGCGGGGAGAAACATGCATGAGCAAAACAGGTTTACGAGTTCAAAAACCTGGACTGAAGCTGTCAAACATTGGTTACAATCATCTGTCAGATGTAAGGACTGTATTTAGGACGCCTTAGTTTCAGTTTAATAAAAGCCAAAAGGCAGAATGAAGAGGTTAAACTACAAGTACAGGGTGAGTCAAAAGTCTCAGGACACCCTTTCATTTTTAATGAAACATCTGAATACTGCAGAAAGCAATGGTTACATACAAAACATGGCTGCCATCTTGGATCAAGGGCAGGGGATGGGCTATTCAGATGTAATTTAGAATAGAATAGAATAGAATAGAATAGAAGCAGCATCAGCAGCAAAGTGACAGGCAATTCACACAAGCTAGAAATATAAAAAAGAAAAAGTATGAATAAAGACTAAACCAAAATAGACATTAGGGCTAAAACGATTCCTCAAATAATTCGAGTAATTCAATTTCAAAAAATCCTCGAGGCAAATTTATCTGCCTCGAAGCTTCGTAAAAAATACATACTGTTATACTCAGCGCCTCTCCTTGGGCTGCTACCTTATCGTGGTGGAGGGGTTTGAGTGTCCCAATGATCCTAGGAGCTATGCTGTCTGGGGCTTTATGCCCCTGGTAGGGTCACCCATGGCAGACAGGTCCTAGGTGAGGAACCAGAGACCCCTTATGATGAATACAAGCATTGGATCTGGCGTTCCCTCGCCCGGACGCGGGTCACCGGGGCCCCCCTCTGGAG